AGAGAGAGAGAGAGAGAGAGAGAGAGAGAGAGAGAGAGAGAGAGAGAGAGAAGGAAAAAGTACGAGTGTCGTTCGTTCCTTGGCAAACGCGCACGGTGACGTTTTCAGAACGTGCGAACTGTAAAAAATACTGCCGCGCGATAACGGTAACGTCGCGCCGCTGCTCCTTTACGCGACTGGGACGCGAGGCGTATTGGTGAGAACGATTATACGTTCGCCAAGTGCCGGCGCGAAGTACTCGGATAAGGATAAAGCTCCGGCTGGCCATTTGATCGGCCATTCGCCGCGCGAATCGTCCGTTTCGGAGCGCGCTGTGAGGCGACAATAAACCGCGAAGAGATCGCTGGGAGGGCGTTTTCCGCTTGCCAAGTGCGCCATTACGTCACTCGGACATTCCGTCGGACCGTTCTCTACACTCGTGTGTCTTGTTGCATCTTAATAATAAGGATCGAAGTGCAGTGTGCGCGAGGCTAGATCGCCGGGGTGTTCGCGCGGATTACCGTCATCTCGCGAGAAGTGTGCGAAACGCGAGAACACGCGAAGAGGAGCCACTGCGGAGACGCGCGGTTGGACGAGGAGCGTGGCGAAAATGAAGCAGTGATTGTATCATAGCATCGCATAACTGACGTCAGCGGCACACGACTCGAGGGAGAGGATTCGTGTAACGAGTCGCCCGAGACACGGGAGAGAGGGAGTTGCGTGCCGTGTGTCTCGAATTAAAAACGCGAGCGCGTGTGTATAGAATGGTTGGGAAGTATAATTGAAAGTAAAAAAGCTCGCGCTCTCTATCCGCCGCGACGGATGGTCGTGAAATCACGGTACGCGAGACGCGCGAGCGCTCGTAACAATATTGACATTGTCAACGAACGTTGGGACTGCTCGTTATCAATATCGAGGATTACGCGCCTTCCGGCATTCGCGCAAAGCAGCGGCAGTCGCCGGGGAAGAGCCGCGACGACGCGTACCATTAATTTCCCATCGCGTCGTCAAGTTTTCCCGTGAGTTAAGGCCGAAATTGAGGCGACGCGACAGCTGCTCCGTCGTGAGGGAAAGTCGCACGCGACGTCGCGCGGTCTAAATAAAATATGCACGGGGATAAAAGTGCCGGCTGCACGCCCGGCGAAAGCGCAACGGAATTCCTTTAATAAATCGCCATCGTGTCTCTCTCTCTCTCTCCCCCCCCCCTTCCTTTCTCCACGCGCGCTGTAACGGCGTGTCTTCGCGTGAGGGACTATTAAACACTCGAGTGTCGAGGGTCGTCGCGATCGTAGCCGTCGTCACGGGAATCGATCGATCGGCTCCCGTAAGATCCAAGAGTGCCGAGGAGTACAAGCTGTGCCGGAAGTGGTTGGATGTTTCGCGGCGAGTGCTCCGAAAGGTCGTCTCTTTTCGTTGCGTTCTCACCCACCCGGCTTGATTTCGTGCCATTGTTTCTCGGCTCGGTGTTCCACGTGGACAGCCATTTCCTCGATCGTGTGCACTTCAAAAGGAAGAGGAGCGCGCAACTTGTTTGGAGGTACGTTTTAAATCACCTTTACTCTGGTCTAACGGTGACCAACTTTAGCAGAAAGCCGGATGGGAGAGTAAGGTAACAGAAATGCCAGCTTTACTCTTCGCAAGTGGGGCGAAATTGGAATTTACTTTTTGATTTCCCGCATGGAGTGATAGACTCGCGTGTCAATGCAAAAATGCATGCGGAGTTGCAGAAAAGGCTTTTGCACGTAGAAAAATTTTAACCGTAACCATAAAGTCGTAAGGAAACTGACCAATCACAGTCGATAATTCCTCGAACGCAAGGAGAATAATCAACTCTGATTGGTCAGTTTTCTTACGACCTTACGGTTACGGTTAAGATTTTTCTACATGCAAGGACCTTAACGCCGCCTTAGGATCGATTAGGAAGCGTTTCGCAAGTCGGGAGCTGAGATAAAAATTGATTTGATTGATTGAGATTTTAAAAAACATCGCACAGTCGTAAAGTGAGCATGCATAACGTTAACGTGGAATTATGTACGTAAGCGTTCCTCGGGTACGTACATTAAAAAATGTTTCACACTGAAAAAAATGAATGATTGATTTAACTGAAATTATAGTTATTTTCGATCTCAATTATATTTTTTGGTTGTTCCAACAGGAAAATGATAGTAACATACATATGAGGTTATTATTACTAACGTTATAGAATTTAATAAAAAAACGGTTTTCTTGATCATAATTTATAATAATTATTTCTTTATATGATTACAGTTATAAACATTATTTTCTCAGTATAGAGCTGCGTTATGCTTTCATTATCTCTCAAAAAGATACTTTACCAATTAATTACGGATATTTCCCGCACGAGGAAAATATCGTAGTAAAAATTGCAACAAAACTTTTGCAACCTTGGATCATATAGAATTATGATTGAAGTTATCATATTCGTTTAAAAACATTAGATGCGTTTGACTTTTTGCTACAAGATTGTTGTAATTGCTTAAATGTCTTTTATATCAAACGATCTCGTACAAAACATGGGAAAAATGATTTCAATCAAACTGTCTAAAAATGGAATATATTGTAGTTTTTAACCTCCTGATCACAAATTTCATGAGTAAAACCTTCGAACATATCTTTTTGCTATGAGTGTTCGAAAGCGGCAATATTAGATTCTTGGGTAACGAAAAGTGAGGAAGAACAGTAAAGTTACACATAATACACGCATATACACACCAACATACATATTTCTGCAATGTCAAACTAATCAATAGATATTCTGCGGACGTGAATTTAATATTGCCGCTTTCGAATACTTGTTCAAAAAAATCTATCCATGTTCCATGTTGCATGGGTTTTCATCGATGCAAAAAATCATGTTCCATGGAATTTTATCCATGGAATTTGTGATCAGAAGGCCAAAAACTACACATATCCAATTTTTAGACAATTTGACTGAAACCAATTTTCCCATGTGTTTTATGCAGGTTTCTTTACTATTTTTTACAGTTAAATTCACAATTTTAACGTAGCCCGGCTTTACAGAGAGGAAACATTGCAAAAATAAATATAATTTCAAATTTTCCGCGTATGTCGGTTAGGAAGAATTTGCTCGGTTTATTGTAGGGATCGAAAGAACCACGGTAAGCCATTTTAGAGATAAGACCCAAAACACAAATCCCAGGTGATTTATTTGACGTGCATTGTTAGAACGCGATAATTAAAAGGCTGTCACAGTTTTCTGGGCGGGCAGTTAGTTCTCATTTATAAATGAGATTATAATGAATCGCGGGCGCAAACTCAATTTCTTCGAAGTCCCTAATGGATTTGTCACAAAAGAATGTTGGCTCGGGAAGAGTTTGGGGATCTCTTAATCTGTCTTTACTGCTTTCTCATTACCTAGAGCTCCGGAGAGTGAAGGCTCATTGAAATAAACGTGAGGGCTAAATTAAACGGACGGCAGTCTCCGATATTGCCTATTTACGTCGTGCGTTTTTCAAGAGGTCGCTTTTAGCTCGATCATTAACTCGATACATTGTTACACGTAAACAAAACTACCGCGTATAACGGAACGGCAAATAGGAGGTATCGATTAATTTATCGCACGTTGCAGTCGCATATTTTTGCGAAGAAAAGTCATTATCGTTATTAAAGGTTATTGTATGGCCGAATGTGAGTACACGCGATCACTGTGGAATATCATCAGTAAATAGGAGACAGATCGATGGCGGTAATGGTGCGTAATTCAAAATCTGCGGGGAAATAATAGTGTGCGGTAGTGTATGCGACGCGCGCCGAAATGTTATTATTCTTCCTTTTCACTCGTTATTTATGCAAATCTCATAATTGGTCATTTTCGAAAACGTTAAATTTCATGGATATCGGTTGATATCGATGTTCCTCGAGTTTTGCAAACTGCATTTTATGCACGTCGATTCGTGTCGATGTCAATTGCGTCAATCAGTTCACTCAGCACGTTTAAATTCTACACGAATTTTTTAGCTTTTCTTTTTTTCATATAAATTCTCGTCAATTTCACGGTGTTTCTAGTAGTGCAGAAATTGACTATTAGTAAGATCTATCTTGCTGAGAAACATAGTATTTTGCTAGAAACTACGAATTTTTTAATTGCACATTTTAGTTCTCAAAATATAAATAGCGCATTTAAAATGAAAAGGTAGTCGATTACTGCAGAATGTCGATCTGTCGATTGCAAGATTTCATAATAAGAAACTTGTATGCGCTGCATACACAGCGAAGTATGATCTAACTGCTCGTGTAAGGATTGACTATTCGAGAGCTGAGATATTAGTAACTAAAGTTGACACTTTTTCTACATGTTTTCTGAGGTTAACGTGCTATTTTTAATTTTATTCTCGATATCTTCCAAACTCTCTCTCTCTCTCTCTCTCTCTCTCTCTCTCTCTCTCTCTCTACATGCGAGATTTTGATGAAAAACTTATGTGCATTAAAAGCTAATATGCAAACATTATGCAACAATTTCCGAATTATCGACTATTTTGTCTTAAAATTACAATAATGGGAAGATCATAATTTATAGTAATACTCGAAACACATATACAGATGTTAAAAAATTAGCGTATCTTCTTGATATCTGTACATCTCTATTAGATAAATTAATGCATAAAATGAAGCACTCATTAGAAAAATGAAAAAAATAATATTTCTTTTTCACTTGTAATATTGTGAATATATATATATATATATATATCTCAATTTTGTTTCAAATCAACAGAGATGCTTGAATAATGGAATAAATGTATAGAAACGTAATTTTGTCCGATAAATGGTAAATTTGAGTGATTCCCTTGATGCGCCACTCAATACGATATTTAGCGATATAACTATCTCAACAACTGTTCAATTTTAATAATACAATAATCATAAATCATAGCTTCACGGTATCCACCAATAATTAAAGTGTACAAAGAGTGTTTGAAATCCTATAGTGTTTGGCATACTCGGAGATCCATAAATCGGCCGCAGATTTCAATCAAGTCTGAAAGTTGATGAACCACGCTGCGTTTTAAATATGTGCTCGGCGTAAAATAAAATCGAGAAAACTAATTTCTAATTACGGATAAGGTAACGAATATTGACTTCCGCGCCAAGAGCGTATTTTTGCGGGCCTGCCCTCTCCTTCATGCGTGAGAATATTGATGCGATATTTTTTTACAGTTACCGCGCGGTCTGGCAAACTGCGATAAAATTTCCAACTCTTTGCGGTTGGCGTACGTGTGCGGCACCGCTGCGGGTAATCGCGCCCACAAAAGGAAGAATGTCAGTCCGCGCGCGTTTCGTAATAATACCCACGAAATAATCTCCGCTGCGTCAAATTACTGTAACTTTAATGCATTGCCGTCGGCGTTGCGCCAGAGCATACGTCGTTCTTTGAATGCTGCTTCAGCGCTCGAAAGCTCGCCTGTGTAATTCATCACATTTGACAATATTAGCGATTACTCCGCTCGCGTTCGTCCTTATCTGCAGCTGCCGACTAATTATACCAACGTCGACTCATCACTCAGTATTTTGTACGTACACGGTATACTTTCCTTTCCTCTTCTCCCGCGATTGGGGCGTGCAGATTAATCACGTTGCGTTCATTATGCAGACGCCCCGTAAGAAATACTCCGCGAAATATGTACAGCGAGATAGGTGCAGCCTCTCGTGGAGGAAGGCATTTTGCACAAGCAAAAAATAAAACGTGAAACGTAGCTTCCCTCCTGCCATGTCGTTTGAAACTGTATGAGCTCGGGGGCTGTCGAAGATTCGATTTTATACGGGATGGCGGGAAGCGTCAGAATGAACGGAAGGTGGAGGAAGAAGACGAGGGACAGAGATTCGAATAATGGACGAATCTTGCGCAAAACTGAAATGATTGATGGAAGTGTGGGCGGAGACAGGGTAGCGGAAATGCCGCGGGAACAAAAGGAGGGGAGGAAGTAGTTATGTTTGTGTGCGGAGTAGGTCGGCACCTAGAACGCTTGAACGCAGTTAACTCGAATGCTCCTGATAATAGTGATACTACGGAGAGTCATCAGCCGACTGGTTAACGAGTTCTCCATCCTTTCCCGAGGACTGACATTTGTCATCGTTCGGCTCCGACGAAGCAATTCCTGTTCGTTTCCCTTCCTTTGTCCCGCGGATAAAAATCAGTCAAGATTGGATGTCTCCACCCTCTTTTAATGGGGAAAGTAGTATCAGGCTTGCTAAGCAAGATTAATGTCGAATGTCTTAAACGACGGGCAATGGTGATCGATACATTTTGTGTCGTAATTCCCTCGTTTGTCGTAGTCATCTTGTAATCGCTGACAAATCTTGTTTATTATGCAAAGTAGTTTTTTCGCATTCTTTCGCCGATCGCGACTAACATTTTTGTCTTTAACAACGTACAGTATAGAAAGAGACATGAAGTTTTTGAATATATAGTGCTTCAAAGAAATAATAATCGGAAAGTGTATACTTTGCGAGATATCTCATATTTTATGCTAAAAAGTATCGAGATAAAATGTAAAATAT